AAAGAAAGTGGATAGCTACGTAAAAACCCCTTTGATCCGTAGTGAAGGAGAAAGAAGAAAATGAATATTATTAGTAGATGGAAGTCTGATCTAGAAACAGAGAGGATTGCTGAAAGTTAAACATGTACCAAAAAACAGATCACTGAAAGAGCAAAGAAGAGAGAGACTCGTTTCTGGGTTCACACGAAATTGTATAGGAGCACAGAATGAAGGAGTGAATGCTGAAATTCTAAGAATGATGGTTCTGATGCTGTGAATAGCATGTGGGCGGCCGACGAATAGCAGCACTCCAGAGGATTAATGGAGTCCTTTTGTGATTCATGCATTCCAACAATTTGGGAACATCTTTGGAATTCCCCACAACAAGATGAAAGAACGTTTGATATCTACTTGACTAGGAAAAGCAAATAGTAATAAATTTAAGTCACAATTTTTTGAGTATAAAAAGGTACAGGTAGAAGAGAGTATAAGATATAAGTATCTGGTTATCCACATGTTTGACAGTTATTCTCTTTGCCCACCCTTGAAGCCATCTTCCCTACGTTCTCATCACTTATCAAAGTTTGACTCCTGAACTTCATGAAAAACATGCCAAGTACTCTCCCTCCCAACCCTAAATATTCTCTCTAGCTACCCTTCTACCTCTGACACCCTCCTGCTTAGTGTCATTTTTCTGCTTTCTCTTCTGCCTGGCTCTTTGTTTTATAAACTGCTCCTTAATAATCAGATATGTAGGGAAGGAAAAATAATTTTCTTTCTAACTTTCTTTGTTCTTAGCTGGAATCTTTATGGCAAAAGAAAGATTAACAAAAGAAAATCAAATGGAAGATCATTAACATGTATATTTCATATCTACAGAGGCCATAACCCACAGAATGATCAATTTTCAAAGGGATGGCTTGGAATTTAGGCTTAAATGTCATCTTTATCTAAAAACAAAGCGAGAAAAGTGCGGAGATGTCCAGGCATGTGAAACTAATAGTAGATAAAGGCTGGATAGTAAGGTTGGTGTGTAGATTCCTCTGGTGCAGTCTCCAATCTCACTAGGGTCCATGGTCATCGAGAGCGGTCAATTTTTGCCTTTCCTGGAAGAGATGAAAGAAGAAACACTTTTGTAGAATCATGACTTTCCTTCAAGCAAAAGGGGAAACGAAGAAAGAATATTTTTTAAATTGTCTTTTGCTCAAAATAGTCCTTAGGCCAAAGTGGCATATTTTGGGGTGGCATATCTACCACCCTTCATGTACATAGGCATAAAATCAAACACCATCTTTATGTTTTCAAATTCTAAACACAATAGCAAAGACATCAGTTGTAAATGTTTTATCCATGGTGTTCCTAAATCACCACATAATATTCTAAAGCTAGGCAGTAAATAAGAAATCTATTTAAACTAATCCAAATTCTTTTTAAAATTGTTTTGTTTAGACATGGTTAAGTGTTAACCTATGTATTTTAAAACAACAGACTTTGATGTATAACAAAGATTGAATAAAATAAATGATCAATATTTATCTTTTTATATAAATTTCTTGCATTTTTCTATACTGTATTTCATCTGGCATGCCTTGCATAAGAAATTGAGTTGTGATATCTTGTACTTTTCATAGTGTCTAAATCTATTTTGAATGAGATGAAATCAGATACAAAGTTAAAATAAAAATTCCCAGAGAATTTTAAAACTTTAAACTTTAAATATAATTGTATGCTGTTTCTGTCAGCATTCAAATTTTAATGTACCTATTGCAAATATAGTACATTTTATAAATAGCTATGTCTCCAGTAATTAAGTGATGACTGTAATAGTAAACTTTGGGTATAAAATATATGTACATAAATTTACTTACATTTTATTTATACAGTGTAAATTTTAGTCAAAATCATGTTGAAAAAATGTACATTCTGCAGTAGAAAAGTTCACTAGATATTACTGTTTAAAGCATGAGAATTGCTATAAATTTTGAGATCATTGCAATTCATCCTGAACCTAATATATTCTATTAATATAAAAATAATACATAGTTCCTCTGAAGTGAACGAAACTAACTGTAAAAGATTAAGTCTGATGACCAAGAAAGAAAGCAATCACAGTGCATCTTGAAGTTTGCCTGCAGGTGAACTGCCTTGCACTAAACTGAATTCACTAGCAAAAGCAATTATTCTCCTACAGTATTCCTTCAGAGACTAACTGCAGGTCATGCAACAAATCAACAATCCCCCAAAATAATGTAAAAATTATGTAAAATGTTTTATTGTCAGTAAAGCACTGTTACTGCAAAGGTAACTAAATAGCAAGCCAACAACAAAAATATGTAAAATCTTTATTTTTGATATATTTGGAAACACACTTATAAAATCACATGGAATTCTTTGAGCTGAGGAAAATCTAAAAACAACTCTACCCACTGACATGCACTGGGAATACTCCTGACCTAAGGTTCACTTACGATATACAACAGAATATGGGAGGCAGGCTTCTCTGCTACCCTTGCTCAGAGACCTATGTACTGGTTATATTTAACTGCAGGTATTTATAAGTCCAAGGGTTTCCCAGTTCCTACCACTTTCCCAAAGTTCTCAAAGTTCCAGTCTCAATTTTGGGTACTCGGGAATCTCCTAGGCCACTGAGGTGGAAACTGTTCTCGAAGGGCCCTCAGAATGTACACACAAGCTTCTTTTGGGTTGAACAATGGGTGGGCAGCCCCCGGGCTTCTCAGCAAAGGCTGTCTGCGTTGCCTGCTCCATGACCCGCTGGCATGAGCGACAGTGCAGTTTACTCAGAGGGTGGAGCTGGAGAATCAACAGAGACTAACTGGTTCTGCCCTCGTAGCTGCCGTACTGGGCTGCACCCTGGGCCAGATGCCACCTTCCCTCTCTGCAGCATCAGTCCGTCTCCCTTCTGCTTCCTATGGGCATCTGTAATATTTAGTTCATTTGAAAGTCATGGGTTCTTTATCTGCTCATTTCAATGTACTGTTTCTGACAAAAATATTATTATCTTAATCCTTCATACTGACACTCCAGAAATTCATATTCAGTAACCCTTTTCCAAATGCTTGGGACAACACTTCATATTTCAAATTTTATGTTTTTGTGGTTTTGGAATAGCTGTATATAGATAATTAGGTATCTTGGGGATGAGTCTCAAGACCTTCATGTTTTGTAGATACTTTATGCATATAATCTGACAGTAATTTTGTAAGATATTCGTTTTGTACTTGCACTTTGACTGCACCTCTTCACTGGAAGTCAGGTGTAGAATTTTAAAATTGTACTTCAGTGTTTAACTGAAACTCAGAATGTTTCAGATTTGGAATACTTTAAAGTTCAGATTTTCAGATTGGAGATGACTGCCCTATACTACTGGCAATCACTTGTGGATCAAACTTTTGAGGCTCTTGTCTCAGCTAAGAACTCTGGAGATATTTTACTATGTGAAAATTCAATATGTAAAAATGTTCTTGTTATTTTAAATGTATTTGTATTTCTGGAAACAACTGGAAAGGAAAGAGTTAGTTCCCTCATAGGCTGAGGAATAGTCAGAGGATAGCAGGGAAAGACATTGGATAATGTGAGAAAGCACCCTGAGTCACAGAGAAAGCTTGCTCTACTTTTAATCATCTGTGCACCTTGAGAAAATTAATTTACCTCTCTATGACTTACTTTTCTAAAGCTATATTATTTACTTATGGCTGCTGTGACAAATTACCACAAACTTGGTGGCTTAAACAACAGAAATGTCTTCTCGCACAGTTCTGGGGGCTGGAAGTTTGAAATGAGTTTTACTGAGCGCAGTTAAAGATGTTGGAAAAGTCATGCTCTCCTTCAAACTTCAGAGAAAAGTCCTTCTGTGCCTCTTCCCCCTCTGGTGCCCAATAGAATTTCTTAGTTGTGACTGTATCATGCCAATCTTTGTCTCTGTGATCACACTGTCTTTTCCTTGTTTCTAATCTTCTGGGGCTTCTTTCTTATAAGAACACATGACTGGAGCTAGAGCCTATCTGGACAATCCAGGATGATCTCCCCATTTTGTGATCCTTAACTTAATCATGTATGCAAAAAGTCTTTAATTGCTATAGAGGTAAAATTCACAGCATCCAGGGATTAGGACTAAACATATCTGTAGAAATGATTATTCAACTTACTATGAAGTAAGTTACTAATAGTACCATTAAAAGATGCACAATCAGATTTCCAGATATGTGGGTTTCATAGCTATGAATTTCACTAACTAGTGGTTGAAGATACTAAAATTTAAAAAAAATTGTGTCTGTACTGAACATGTAAGAACTTCTAATAAAGTAGGATAAAAACAAAGTATCCACTATTTACATTTTCTTAGGAACAATAAGTAATGTGGAGAT